ACTCTCCTCCTGGCATGAGCTCAGCTCATGAGGCCACTAACGAGGCCCCGTTTTTAACTAATAAGCGGGGTTTGAAGGCGAGGTCACCGCGTTCAGTCCACGGGGCAGGGTGGCGAGCGATCCATCAGGCTGAGCAATGCCTCCTAACTTTTATGGCCTTCTAAAAAGCCAGATGCTTGACATGAGTTTGACACAGTTTAGCCTCTTGTTTTTGAAGACGTAGGTGGCTTTGGGAACAGCACCAGCCCTGGTAGTCGGGCGGCATTTCCCTGCGGATTTGATGGGTGCGGATGTTTCCACGTTTCAGGGAAATCCGGTTAAAAAAAGCAGCTCGGCATGAGAAACCCTGGAGAATTCCAGGAGCCTCCCTGAACACGTGCCTCTGTCGAGCAGGGACGCGGTGTGTCCTTTCCAAACCTCTGGTGGTGGCTTTGTCCCCACGGCAAAGCCCACGAGCATCAGGAAAATGCGGTCCAGCCCTCGCCACCGGCATCTCCCGCTCAGGGAAAGGCACCATGTCTCCCAAGTGAGGATGAGTATTATCTCAGTGCCTCCTCTGGATGCTCTTCAGGGAGAGGACTTTCTCCAGAGGCAAGCGCCAGCCCCTCCATGGGTGCAAACAAACAAGGGGTGGCCTTGGACTGCTCCCTCCCTCCCTCGCCGAGCCACGGCGGATGTATTTTTAGCTCCGTATCATCCCGGTTGGGTTTGTAAAACTTTCCTTCCCTTGTGTTTTCAATCAATTGTGGATCAGCCCCGAGCTCTGGCTGGATTTTTCCCAGCCTGTCTGTTGGTTTTCCTGCAGTAACACGTCCCACAGCCGGATGGAGAGGACCCTGAGGGGGGTTTCTGCTCCCTCTGGTCCTTCCCCTCCATGTGTCTTCTGGCTCAAGGATGGCTCAGGGACCAGTGGGGATGCTGCAGTGCCCTCAGCATCCCTGGTATCCTCCACTTCACTCCCTGGGACATGCCTGGATCCAACTGTGGGGAGAAAGGAGCTTGAAGGAGCTATCAGAAGCAGGAGGGCTGCTTCTTCCATCCCATATTCCTCCTTTTTGCACCAGCTCCCAAAGCCACAGACAGGTACTGGGGAGGGACAAAGAGCTGGGAGCGTGCTGGGAACCAGAAATTCCCCCAGACAGCCAAAATGGCAGCAATTCAGCCAGTTTTGGGGACAACTCAGACAAGACCTTCACCCCCCTGCAACACTGAACCAAAAAGCCAGGATGAAGACAATTGTTATTATTCATACATTGAAAAAAAAAAAAAACCCAGCTTGTAAATGTGGCTGCAGAGAGTAATTTGGCCAGTCTTGCTTCTTCTTGCTCCTTCAGTCTCATAAACTCTCAGAATGACAGAGGACAGGCCAGGAATTACTCATTCTGGGTCTCGATGTTGGGTGGCAGGCTCTGATTTTATGGCTGTGATGGTCAGGGTACCCCAGCAGCCTTCCTGGAAAGGGCCGATCCCCTCCTTTACTGGGCTGTAAGGTAAAATACACTGTATTTACTGATTTACACCGTCAGCTCTCCCCTCTGGGGATGCTGTAGGACAGTGTTAATTCCCAGTGACCAAAAAGGGACTCAGTGAACCCAAGGAAAAGGGAGAGGTGGTGTGACCTGAGGAGCTGGAAAGGTTTCGCATCCATAGGTGGGGATGCAGAGACCCCAAACCAGCTGTGATTCAGAAGGCAGCTACGGTAAAACCAAACGCTTCTCTTCTTTTCCCCGTGCTCAAGCCGTGGGGGAATTGCCATCAGCTCCGACATCCGATGCCAAGGTAAGCCCTGGCACGGCTGCAGAGCTGGTTTGGGAGCCCAGCCGTGCCATCTTCCCTGAAGTCACTTCCTCCCCTAATTTATTTAATCCAGTTTAATAGCTCTCGCGCCGCGCGCCCTCCTGGAGCCCGGGGAGATATGGGCTCGCTGCCCGTCCTCTGCCTGGAAATGCAGCCATTTCAGCAGGGCAGCTGCCTCCCCCCAGCTTCCCCCCACCTTCCTGGGGAGATGCTTTCCTTCCAGCATCCCAGAGGAGAGGACCAGCAATCCCAGAGGGGATCCGGAGGGATGCTGGGGCTGGGGCACAGCACCTCACGCAGCACATCACCTTCACAGGCCATCCCCAGGTGTTGCCCACCTTTGCTGACCCCTCCATGAATGGTGTTGTGGGGCTTTCAGAGCCATGGCCGAAGCATTGGGGGGGCACAGTGGCCAAAAAATGAGGGCTCACTCCTTGCTGACAGCACAGAGAGCAGAGAACCATAGAATCACAGAACGGTTTGGGTGGGAAGGGGCCTCTAAAGCCCATCTAGTCCCACCTCCCCTGCCATGAGCAGGGACACCTTCAACCAGACCAGGTTGCTCAGAGCCCCATCCAACCTGGCCTTGAATCCCTCCAGGGATGGGACATCTCCCACCTCTCTGGGCAACCTGGGCCAATGTCTCACCACCCTCAGTGTAAAGAATTTCTTCCTTATATCTAGTCTTCCCTCTTCTAGTTTGAAGCCATTACCCCTTGTCCTATCGCAACAAGCCCCACTAAATAGTCTGTCCCCATCTTTTCAAACGAGGCCAGAAAAGGAGCCACCGAGAGGGAAGCTCCCCTCTTTTTTTCTTGCCAAAAATGCCCATTTTCCCCAAAAACACTGCATTGCATCACCACCATGCCCCATCCAAACCGTGTCCCACTGCCTGGACCCTTCATGGTCTTCTTTTTAAGAGAGACAGCCAAGAAAGAGAGGCAAACACTGGTCTCTCTACTGCCACGGGGGGCAAGTTGGAGCCACCCCCTGGGCTACTCCAGTTGGCTGGGGAGGGTCCCGATCCCCCCAGATCCCACAGCTCCAGCATCAGCAGAAAGTCCCTCTCCTTTTTTTTAAGGAGGCTTGGAGAGCAGCTGATGCCATCCCTGGTCCCAAGGGGTGGCATCACCCTCACTCCTCTTTGGCAGCTTGATTTCCAGATGGAAACGCAGACGTTAAGGACCTGCCTGGCACACATCCTTGCGCCAGCGGGTTTCCGGCTCTGCTCGGCTGTATGGAAATAAAAAATCATTAAGGCTCGACGCAGACAACGAAATGACACTTTGGCATCTTGCGTTTAAGCCGAGCAGACGTTGATTGAGCTGAAGAGAGTCAAATTAATTTGGCTTCCGCAACGGCTCCTGCGTGATGCTAATAAAAGCCGTGTTTTGTGCAGCCTCACGGCTCAGGATGCAGAGATTCATGGCCCTTGTTGTCTTTGCAGAGCTCTAATTAAGTTGCTTTTCTCATCTGAAAGAAGGAGCAGGAGGGCTGGTTGGGTTTAGTTTGGGGTTTTTTCCATTTTCTGGGCTCAGGGGGCAGCAGCAATGGGGGTAACCTATGGCCAGCACGGTCATAACCCCAAGGAGGGGCACGTAGAGTGGTCCCCAAGCAGATCTGTGTCCCACAGCATCCCCACACGAGGTCCCTATCTCTGCAGGAGGCATCATGGCAAAGGGTCTCGGGGGGTCTTCTCTCCTTGGAGGGACTGAGCCTCTTCCTGGTTCACATCCTTTTCACTTTTATATTTTTGCATTAAATTTCAGCCAAATCATTTCCCTGGCCCCACTCATTGGGATTTCTGTCCCTTCTTGGGGACAGACTCAGATGAGAGTGACTCCACTCCAGCATTACCCTGCGAGAAGCAGGTCCCAGGGGGATGGATACCAGGACGTTGTCTCCCAGCCCCTTGTTTCCTGATGAGGAGCCATAAACCTCCCAAAAAACACAAGCAGCCACCAATTAGTGGTCAGCAGCTGAGCTGGTGGCAGATCCTCGGAGCGAGAGCCACCAGGAGCATCCCACCTTCGGGTTGTCCCCTGATTTCCCCACGGATGGTCCCCTTCCCACCGCTGTCACACACCTCAGCAGACTGGGATGTGACCCCCCCCCCACCACCACCCTGGCCATTTCCAACACAGTAGTGTGTTTTTTTAATCTTTTTTCTTTCCGTTCGGTGCGTGCCAGGCAGCCTTTCCCTCTGGCTCAGGAGAGGATTAGGCAACTGGTCCCAAAATTCCAGCGTGACCAACCAGGTCAGGACCATCCAGCCAAATAAAGACCCAGGGCTCTTCCCAAAGCTTTTTGGCTCCTTTTTTAAGCCAAAAACCCGCACACACAAGCTCTGAATCCACAAAGTGCCTTTGCTGCTGCTGCATGCATGGAATTTTGGGGGTGGGGGGGTGACTAATTGGGGAAGGGGGGTGGGGGTGACTGTCACCTCCCAGGAGTCGGCCAAATCTGGAGACCCCAAGGGCAGCCCCAGGGTTAATGGCTTCATGGCAGGAGTTAAGGTGAGAGTGTGGGGAGCACCCCAGCTGCAGCCCCATCTCCTAACGAGCCCCCCCCTTTAATTTCCACCCCCCCAAATCCTCCCCCAGCCACAGGGTGCTGCCAGAAACCCGCCGGCGGGGCTTGAGCAATAGCAGCCCCATGCCTGACATCTGCCCACACACATTTTGGAGGCCAGTAAACTTCCTGTGGATATTGGCCGCCTGACAAAAGTGACATAAATTCTGCCTTTTTTTTTTTTTTTTTAAGGGTGGGTACTTTTTTTTTTCCCTTTTTAAAATTTTCTTTTTTATTTTGAGAACAGGTAGGAGCTCGGCTCCTGCCTCTCCCTGGCTTCGGGATACATAAGTTTTAAGGAAGAGCTCAGAGAGGGGTGGGGGGGTATTTCTGTAGGTCGGGGGCCAGGCTGCAGACATAAGGAAAAAATATCATCCCACGTCCGTAAAACAGTTTGTTCTCACTTTTTAAGAAATTGGAGGTGCACGTTTGCCATCCCAGCCTCCCCCCCTGCCCTCTCCCCCCATCTCCAAGGTTTTGTCCCACCAATGCTCCAGGCAGGTGACATGTTTCCCCCAGGAGCCACATCTACCCCGAGGTGCACCTTCAGCACAGACCCACACGCCATTCAGGCTCCTTTGAGAGACATTTATTATTTAAATAATAATTTATTTTATTTTCTTTACATCACCTCAACTAACGAACCACAGGAAAGCTCCAAACCTTGGCACCTTTGGGCTTTCTGAGCAGAGCTGCAGCTCTCAAACGGACAACGAGACGACCCACAAGGACCCTGTGTTTGGTGGATGCTGCACAACCAGTAGCCACGATCACACACACACACACCCCCCAGCAACCCCCAAGTGGCCCCAATGGCCTCGGGACAAACCCAGCTCATCTGGGGGGGTCGGATGCTCCTTACCCTGGTGGGGACCAGCCTGGAACCCCAAAGAGCAACACTCATCCCATGAAATAAAGTAGTGGTGCTGAAGGATGTTGCCCGATGCATGTTTTAGGTTTTGTTGGGTTTGGGATGTTTTTTTTATTAAATAAAACCCCCTCCTGAGCGTGTTCATCCCAGGTTGGTGGGAGGATGAGCAAAGGCTCTTGGTCAGGCAGCCCAGGGGGACAAGCCCTCCTCTGTGCCACCCCAAAAACCCATCAGTAGCACTGCCCTGGATGTGGGTAAAGCCCATGGCTGTGACCAAAAACTCTCCTTCCTTGGTCAAGCTCTTTATTCCCCTTGTTGGCTCCTCCACAAACCAGTGGGCAATGAAAATTTCAACCTGGGTGCTCAGGAAGGGTGACACAGCTCTACTGCCATTTCAGCACAATGGAAGTGCCACAATTTGGTTTTTTTTTTCTGCCCTGGTGCCCCTCAGACAAGCTGGGCTGGCACAGCCTACAATCCCTGGGGGCAGGGGACAGACAGACAGACAGACAGACACATGCACACAGACCTACACCTGATAAAGTGCGTTTCTTTAGGCAGCCAGCCTACTAAATAAAGGGGAATATTTGGGGGTACTCTGCTCCCTTCTTCTCCTACTCGATCCTTAGGGACCTGGGGACAGGGAAGGGTGCTTGCAGCAATGGGGGGCCACCCAGCCCCATCTCCAGGACATGTACCCCCACCTTCAGCCCAAAAGGGGATCTTGCTGGGAGCTCTGCTCCCCAACACAAAATCCCCCCCCGACAGTAGTGTTATAGCAAAGCCCCCCACATTTCACCCCTCGACCCTCCTGTAGTGTGGCCAGACACAGCCTGTACCGTTCACCAGGTGGGAGCATCTCCATCTGAGGGTGACAGCGACATCCAGGTACTCATCAGCCCTTCCAATTTTGTCCCATCGTATTTTTTAACCCTGTGAGAGGACCACACTGGCTTTCCAGGGGCTTCCCACACACGCTGTGACACCTGGCCAGGCCACCCATATCTGGCCAACCCTGCAGCAGATACACCTCTTGCTGGGCCACGAGGCAGAGCTCGCTCAACATCTGCCAGGGCTGTGCTTCACCTGGCAGATGTCTCCTGGGACAGCCAAGGGATCTACTGCCCACAGGGGTCCAGTTTTGTCTTTGCTGGGGATGGAGTCTGTCTGTCCTGGCTGGCGGGGGTGACCTGGCAGCACAGCACGGAGCGCATGAACCGCAGGACCGGGGGCCGCAGGATGGCGAAGACCCAAGGGTCGACGATGGAATTAATGGAGAGAAACCTCAGGGCCAGGAGGTCCCAGTTGTCGGTGTCCTCTTTGTCACTGTACTTGTTCACGTAGGCACGGATCTGCAAAACACGACCGGGAGAAATAATTTCGGGTCTGGGCTTCCAGGAGCCGGCCCCCGGGCAGCTTCCCGGGGAGGTTTGGGCTGTCATAGAATCATGGAATGGTTGGAGTTGGAAGGGACCTTAAAGACCATCCTGTTCCACCCCCTGCCCTGGGCAGGGACACCTCCCACCAGACCAGGTTGCTCCAAGCCCCCTCCAACCTGGCCTTGAACCCCTCCAGGGATGGGGCAGCCACAGCTTCTCTGGGCAACCTGGGCCAGGCTCTCACCACCCTCACAGTCAACAATTTCTTCCCCACATCTCATCTCAATCTCCCCTCTTCCAGTGTCAAACCCTTCCCCCTCATCCTATGGCTCCCCTCCCTGATCCAGAGTCCCTCCCCATCTCTCCTGGAGCCCCTTGAGGGACTGGAAGGGGCTCTAAGGTCTCCCCGGAGCCTTCTCTTCTCCAGGCTGAACCCCCCCAACTCTCTCAGCCTGTCCTCCCAGCAGAGGGGCTCCAGCCCTCCCAGCATCTCCGGGGCCTCCTCTGGCCCTTCTCCAACAGCTCCAGGTCCTGCTTAAGGAGCACCCACTCTGTCTCTTCTCTGTCACAGGACACTTCCTGCCTCTACTGGTTTAAATGAACTTCTCCCTAAGGAAAGCCAGATCCAAGCTCTGCTCTCAGCAGGCAGTGAGGCTCCTGTTCAGCCCCACGGCGACGAAGGCAGCCAGGAGGAAGCCGTGGGTCTCACCTTGAAAACCACACGGGACAAATAAACGCAGAAGATGGAGAGGATGCGGGGGGCTGGAGCCCTCAGGTCCTTCCTGCAACGTGCCGACTCACAGATGCTTACAGGGCTTCCTGGCAGGGTGACTCAGCTCTCCTTACTCACACGGGGCGAATGGCCACCCCCTCACTTGAGGGGAGAGGGGGTGTTCAGACAGACGAGGGGGTGGGCGGGAGCCTGGGGGGGCGCAGGAAGCACCCGCATCCCTCCTCCAGCTGGGATGTGGTGGGTACCAACCCCGGGATGCTGCATCCCGGGGCACGAGATGGCCACGGTGCAGCCGGTACCCGAGGGTTGTCCCGAGTTTGGGGGGTAGGGAGGTGGGTTTTTGGAAGGATCTTACTGGGTTCCTGTGGTCGGGCTGCTCCACGGAGGGTGGGAACTGTGGGCAGCCCCAGCCAGAAGAGAAAGTGTCACAGCACGGGCAGCTGGGTTTGAGACACTGCCGGGCGATGGGAAGGGAAAAGCCAGCTGTGCCTCTGGATAAGGCTCTATCTGCCACCACGGGGCCCGTGGGGTCCCCAGCAGCAGCACTTTCCCATCCCGTCTGCCCCCCTCCCAGACCCACAGCGCCCTGCCCCACGTGTCCCCAGCCCCCACAGCACTCAAACCTGGGATTTTTCGGGACAGGGGGAGAGCTGCTCATCCTGCGTGGGGTCAGGAAGCTGAAAGGTCTCGCAGGAGGTTGAGTCTGGCTCCTGGGATGCTCTTTTCTCTTTCTTAAGGCCCCAGGCAGCCCCGGCTGGGCTGCAGCCTGCGGTTATTTTCTTTTCCCTCGGGGAAAAAAAAGGGAGCACGGAGGGAAGGTAGAGCCTCTATTTAACTCTGTAAGCACAAAATTAGCCCTGGCTGCGCTCCCAGCCTTGGTGGGGCTCGTTTCTAATAGGAACAAAATGATCTCCCATGGCAGCAGGCTCATCTACATGGGCAGAGGACACCAGCAGCTCAAGGTGCTCTGGGGTCTGCGATGCTGCTGGTATAATGTGTCTTGGAGGGATGAAAAGCAGACCTTTGGCCAGGAGAGCCTGGGGCAGAGGCAGGGGACTCACTCTCTCTCCTTCCTGACTTGGCTGAGGGGTTTGGACCCCGCATTTCTGTTGGAAGCCTCTCGCAGAGATGGGGCACGGGATGTAGGCACGACACTTGGGATGAGGGATGCTCTGGCCCATGTGGTGGATCTCCATTCCCAGCAATCACCCATCTCCATGCCTGCACCCTGGTGGTGTTGCAGAGGAAGGGAGACCATCTAACTGTGAGGTGGGTGCTGCCTGCCCACATCTCCAGCTCCATCCTTCACCACAGAAATTCGGGATAACTCTGACTGCCCAGCACGGATACCCACTGTCTCCAGCCCAGCGGCATCTCCTTCATCCCCATCTTTGGATGTCAAATTCATTGCTCTGTCACCCCTCACACCTCCATGATGAGTGCCCAGCTCCTGGGAACCACAGCAACCACCGTGTGGTTCAGGGGACCTCTAACTTAGACACTGCCTGGTCCACGCTGCCTGGTCTCGAAGCCTCTGCGGGATGGGATGGCACCTCTGCTCCTGCCACCCCATCTTCATGCCACCTTGTCCTCCTGCCACCCATCCTCCTGCCACCCCCTCTTCTTGCTACCCCATCCTTCTGCCACCTCATCCTTCTGCCATCCTGTCCTCCTGCCGCCCCGTCCCTCTGCCACCCCGTCCTCCTGCCAGCACTCAGGATATGGGGGATGATTCTCCCATTTCCCCATGGGATGTGCAAATTGCCCAGTTTGTGGCAGACCTGGGGTCTCCTGAGCTTCAGGAGGAGCTAAGGTTTGACCTCAGCCCTTGAGGTTTGGGCAGTGGAGTAAGGGGGAACCTTATAAAGGGAAGGAAGAGAAATAGGGGTGCTGGGAAGAAGGATCCCACCCCAGGGGAGAAGCAATAGCACTCACCGTGAATGGCAGGGAGCAGATGACGAAGGTGATGGTCATGATGGAGAGGAGAAGGAGATGGTCAATCTCCTCAGCCATGGAGAACATGCGCCGGCCGCAACCGCCGGTTGCCCGGGGCTGCTCCAGAGTGGCCAGCCGTCGGGTCTTCTGGCCACGGCGGTGCATGCGGGCCAGGTTGGCGATGACGCTGAGGTTGCAGAGCAGCACAGAGAGGATGAGGAAGAGGAGGAGGGTGGCGTAGAGCAGCGAGAAGGTGACATGCAAGCCGGACACCTCCCTTCCGCCGTTCTGCTGCTGGTACTCCAGGTTCTTCATCTGGATGAAGCACCAAGTGCCAGGGCAATACTGGACGTACCTCCCGAAGCCCACCAGAGGCAAGGAGCAGAAGGCGGCGGAGAAGGTGTAGATGGCCGGCAGGGCAACCAAACCCGTCCGGGGGCTAAGAAAGCGCTCGTAAAAGTAGGGCTGCCCCAGGGCCAGGCATCGTTCCAGCGCCATGGCGAAGAGGATGAGCATGGTGGCGAGGCCAAAGAAGCTCATGGCGAAGCCGAAGTAGAGGCAGATGTGTCCTCCTTGAGCCAGGGCGGTCAAGGTGAGGTTGCGATGGTAGGAAGCCAGGACGAAAGGGCTGACGGAGCAGGTGCCCAGAAGATCGGTGACCACCAGGGCCAGCACCAAGACGTGGAAAAGGGATGGCGGGTGGGCTCGGGGTCCTCGACGGCAACGAAGCAGTAGCCCAAGGGCCAAGAGGTTGCCCAAAAGGCCAGCGGAGAACATGAGGGCGCTGACCAAGGGGCCGGCCTCCCTCGGTAGAGTCCCGCCGTGCTCGCACCTCCCCGTCCCGTTCATCCCGCCGCCCGCCGACCGACTGCGCCGCCGCCACAGCTCCGACCGGCACCGCCCTCCCTCCCCGTTACACCCCCCCCCTTTCCCCGCAACCTCCCACCCTCCTCTCCCGCCTCC